TGAAAAGGAGTGGAGACAGTGGACATCCTTGTCTGGTTCCTAATTTTAATGGGAATGCTTCCAGTTTTTTCTCCATTTAGAATGATATTGGCTGTGGGTTTATTGTCTATAGCTTTAAATATGTTGAGGTGGTCTGCTAAGCTCCCAGCCACTACCCTGATGGAGGTAGAACCCACCCTCCCAGGCTGACTACTGGGATCTCAGCCTTAGCCTACCAAAGCCGGATCTGCTCTGGGGCATTGGGAGGGGCCTCACAAAACCCAGGTAGGGGGATGGTATGGTGCAATTAAGGAAAGCTCACCACCACATGGAGGCAGGATCCAGGGGCTGTCAGGCTGTCTCCTGGGTTCTCAGGCCCTCTGGGAGTTGGAGGCCAGAGGGAAGCCAGAACCCAGTACTCTCTGGTGGTCTGCTAAGCTCCCAGCTGCTACTGTGATGGAGGTCCAAACTCACCCTCTCAGGCTGTCTGCTAGGATCTCCTCTCTTTAGTAGTATTTTAAGTGATTTATTTTATTTCTTGACATTGTGAAATACGGTGATAAGGTGCAAGTATTTTAGCATTAGGAATATTATAAAATATTTTATGAAGATGAGATAAAAATCTGAGAACTAGAAATGTATTAGAAAATACGCAGTATCACTTGAATGGTTAAGAGACTGTAGAACATACATATGTAAGTGATTTTTTTTACTTTAATGACTATTGTTTAACACAGCAGTATTGGTTGAGCAAATATGTGCTAAAACCATGGTTAGCACACAAGACAGTGCAGAAGACTCTCAGTACTACACATTGTAGTACAGAGAGCTGCAAAAGTAGAGAGATTAGTGTTTGGAATAAAGGCAATATCCAAGTGTGAAGTACACAGCTCAGAGGCACTCATTAGGTAGAAGACAGAGGACAAAGAAGAAGCAGAGCCTGGAGAGATAAACTCATGAGCTATGGCTGTTTTGTTGGCTATGATTCACAGTCTCATCTAATTATCATTTTTTGATAGATATAATCATCAGAGGCTTTTTAATCCTATCTTAATTACCAATGCTAACTTTCAGATCACAAATATAGTACACACACACACACACACACACACACACACACTACATAGTAGCTCCAAAATTAAGTTCTGAAACCAAGTTGAGTAAGGCATAGAAATAGATGCACACCTTTAATGCCAGCACTTGGGAGTCAGAGGCAGGTGGATTTCTTGGGATCAAGGTGAAATTTTGTCGGGAGCTGCTAATCTATTATGTGCATTGAGCTGTGGCTGCCTTGTTTGCTGAGTTTGTGTTATGCATACTGGTACTTAACCTGCCCATTCAGGAGGGATGTGTTTATATGGAGAGCCTCACAATACCTGACCTGGAGGCAATAGTGGTAAACAAAAGGATCAAAGAAGGCTTTGATCTGACCACTCCTTGACCCTCAGATACAGGTGGGGAAAAACAGCTATTGTAACTAATTGAGTTCTTCTGCATAAAAAGGCAGAGCTGAAATAAACCGGGGCTGCAGTATTCACTGTCAGTCCTCCCAAGCATCTTTTCTGTCTCCTTTTCTTTCTTTCAATCCT